CAGGAGGAGGTGGAGCAGGAGGAGAAGAAAAAGGGGAAGAGGAGGAGGGGAGGAGTGAGGAGGAGGAGGAGGAGGAGGAGGAGAAAAGGATCCGGATCTGGATCCGGATCCGGATCCGGAGGAGGAGGAGGAGGAGGAGGAGGAGGAGGAAGAAGGGGTAGGAGGGAGAGGAGGAGGAGGAGGAGGAGGAGGAGGAGGAAGAAGGGGTAGGAGGGAGTGAGGGAGGGAGCGTTCCCCTCGTCGTCGTCGCCGTCTTCGTCGCCGTCCTCGCGGAGCGCCGGCGCCAGGCGGCCCCCGCCGTGCCCACACCCTGGCACCCACGCGGGCTACGGGGGCTTTCTGACCACAGACAACCTGCGCGACGAGTTGCGCCGCATCGCGCAGGTCGCCGCCGCCGTCGCCGCCGTCAAAGTTCACCGTCGTCGTCGTCGTCGTCGTCGTCGTCGTCGTCGTCGTCGTCGCCGTGGTGGTCGTCGTCGTCGTCGTCGTCGTCGTCGCCGCCGCCGCCGCCGTCGATCGTCGCCCTCGCTGTCGTCGAACGCCGCGTCGCTGGCGTCGACGGCGCCCTGCGCGGGCGCGCCGCGCAGAGGGCGCGCTCCTCCCAGTCGAGCTGCGGCGACCGGGGTGCGGCGGCCACGCTGACGACAACCACGGCGACGACGGGGGGGGGGGGGACGACAAGGACGGCGACGAGGGTAATGCCCCGATCGCCCTTCTCCCTCCTGCTCCGCCCTTCCGCCACGGTCGGTGTTCGTGACCTGCTCGGGGCCTGCCGTGGCAGGACTCGCAATTGCATCTATGTTTGTGTATAAATATTCTCTATATATATATATATATTTATATATATATATATACACAGGATGTTCCCGTCTCGCTTCGCTCCGCCTTTACAATCTTGGTCGCATTGTGCCAGAAAGGCGCGCTGGGACGGGCAGTCGTCGCTGCCGCGGTGCGCCGCGCCTCGTCAATGGGGCCTATAGGGCTCGTGTGGCTCATGCAACTCGTCTGTGATCATAGGGCTCTTGCGGCTCGTCTGGCTCAGAAAGCCCCCCTCGCCCGACTGGGTGAACGCTTGACCCGAAAGTGGCCCCTAGACGGCACCGAGACGCCCCATGGACCCGGCATTTTGACGACCGCTCAAAATGCCGGGTTCTGGGGGTCTCTTCGGGCCATCTTGGGCCGCTCTTGGGCCGCTCTGGGGCCCCGGAGAAGGCCCCGAGAGGGCCCCGAGCGAGCTCATGAGGGGTCCAAGAAGGCCCCAAGAGCGGCTCCATGTGGGCCCTCGCACCCAGAATCTTGACAGCTGCTGAAAATGCCGGGTGCGGGGTCCTTCTTGGAGCCCTCCTGGGGCTTTTTGGGGCCGCTTTTGGGCTACTCTTGAGGTGTCTGGGGCTCGGCGAAGGCCCCGAGAGAGCCCCAAGTGTGCCCAAGAGAGCTCCAAGAAGGCCCCAAGAGCGGCCGAAGAACACTGCATGATCATGCAGTAATCTTGGGGTTCTCTTGCAGCGCTTGAGGGGCTCTTCCTTGGCCTCTCCTGGGCCCTGGAGAAGTCTCCGAGAGAGCCCCGCGACAACTTCCATAGGGCCTTGGAGAAACTTCGGGGATAGCCCCACGAGCCTTCCCATATGGAATCTGAGGGCCTCGGGGGCGTGCGGGTCATTGGGCACAGAGGGCTCGTCAGACTGAATGGGCTCGGAAGCTCGTAGCGCGCAGGTCTCGTGGGGCCCGTGGGGCTGATAGGGCCGATAGGCCTCATAGGTCGCGCGAAGCTCATTTGGGGGTCATGTGATGGGTCTATTAGGGCTCATAAAAATCATAGGGCTCATATGCTCGTAGGGCTCATAAGGCTCTTCGGCTTCATGTGGATTGTTGGGCTCATCGGACTCATAGGGCTCATAGAGCGCATAGGTGTCATAGGACTCATGAGGGTAGGGCTCATGGGGCTCATGAGGCCCATAGGGCTCATAGGGCTCACAGGGCTCATAAGGTTCATATGGCTCGTAGGGCTCGTAGGGCTCTTAGAGCGCATATGTCTCATGGGACTCATGAGGGCTCATAGGGCTCATGGGGCTCAGAGGGCTCATAGGGTTCATATGGTTCATAGGGCTCATAGGTCTCATAGGACTCACAGGGCGCGTAGGGCTCATGGGGCTCATAGACGTCATGGGGCGGCTCACAGGGGTCATATGGCGCATGGGGCTCAGAGGGTTCATGGGCTCACAGGGCTCACAGGGCATAGCGTTCATAGGGCCCATGGTGCTCATGAGGCCCATAAGGGTCATAGGGCTCATAGGGCTCATAGGACTGATTGGACGCATAGAGTTCATATGGCTCATAGGGCTTATAGCACTCGCAGGGCGGCTCATGGGGGCTCATGAGTGTCAGAGGGCTCATCGGGCTCATACTGCTCATAGGGCTCGCAGGGCTCATAGGGGTCATGTGGCTCATAGGGCTCGTAGGGCTCAGAAGGCTCAGAGGGGCGCATAGGGCTCGTCGGGCTCATAGGGCTCATATGGCTCATGGTGTGTGTAGGGCTCGTAAGAATCATAGGGCTCACATGGCTCACAAGGCTCATAGGGCTCATAGGGTTCATATGGTTCATACGGCTTATAGGGCTCGCAGAGCGCGTAGGGCTCATGGGGCGCATGAGGGCTCGTGATGCTCATAGGGCTGATGAGGGCTCAGCGGGCGCAGAGGGGCTCACAGGTCTCATAGGGCTCAGGAGGCTCACAGGACCATTATGGCTCATAGGGCTCATGGGGCTAATAGGGGTCGTAGAGTTCGTATGGATCAGAGGGTTCATACGGCTCATAGGGCTCAGAGCGTCCAGAGGGGCTCGTAGGGCTTGTAAGGCTCATAGGGCTCACGGGGTGCATGACCATCGGGCTCAGAGGACTCATAGGGCCCATCGGGCTCACAGGGTTCATGTGGCTTGTATGGCTCACAGGGCTCGTGGGGCTCATGGGGCTCATGGGGCTCACCAGGCTTATAGGGCTCACAGGGCTCGTATGGCTCATATGGCTCACAGGGCTCATAGGTTTCATATGGCTGGTAGGGCTCACAGGGCTCAGAGGGCTGACGGGGGCTCATAGGGCTCGTAAGGCTCATAGGGGTCATGGGGTGCAGAGGGCTCATAAGGCTCAAAGGGCTCATAGGGCGCATAGGGCTCGTAGGCCTCATGAGTTTCATGGGGGTCATAGGGCTCATGGGGGCTCATAGGGATCACAGGGATCAAAGGGCGCATCGTGCTCGGAGGGCTCATAGGGCCCGTTGCGCTCGTTGGGCTCGTAGGGCTCATAAATGGGTCCCAGGGCCGAAGGTATGAACGTGGCGCTAGAGGAATAACCAAGGCATCTAAGATACAACCTTGCGGAGATCAATGACTGGCCTCTCGGGGCCTTGGCGGGGCTTTGTTTGGGCCTCTTTTGGGCCGTCTGGCGGCCCTCGTGGCCCGCTGTGGGACCTTTTTGGGCCGTCCTGGGGGGCGTGGGCCGTCCTGGGGCCATCTTGGGCCCTTTCGGGAGCCTCTTGTGGCCTTCTGAGGTTGTCTTGGGAGCTTTGGGGGTCCTCACGGGCTCCATGTGGGCCGTCTTGGGGCTGTCTTGGGCCGTGTTGGGGCTCATTGGGGCTGTCTTGGGGCCCTCTTCGGGACTTCTTGGGCCGCATTGGGGAGATCTTGGGGCCCGGCTAGGCCGTCTTGGACGCTTTCAAGACCAAAGACGGGAATATGCAGAAAAAGTAAGTTTTTTCTTGGGAAATGGATGACTTGTGCCTTTCGGGGATCCCCCTGGGGGGCCTCTTGCGGCGTCTTCGGGGCTTCTTGATCCGACTTGAAGTCATTTTGGGCCTTGTTTGAGCGCCCATGGGCGGGCTGCTCTGGAACGGTCTTGGGCAGTCTCGGGCCCCCGCGGAACCGTCCGGGAAGCGATCGTGGGCCCGCCCGAGCGGCGTAGGGTAGCTCCGAGGGGCTGCCCAAACCGGAAATTCTTATTCAACGTCGGTGGGAGCGCCCAGGGCCGAATCTATGTACGGTGTGTGTGTGTGTGTGTGTGTACGTGTGGGGCGTTTTCCTGATAAGTTTTTTTCGAGACGGAATATACATACATATATATATATATATATACACATGTATATTTCTGTCTCTCTCTCTCTCTATATATATATGCCATTTCCGATAACGGTTGTTACCCGGGGGGGCTGCAGCCCCGGGTAATTCACAGTAGCGCCTGGACGGGGTGGGGCACGTCAGGGCGGGAGTGCGCTGCAGTCGCCGCAGTATGTGCGCGAGCATGTGGGGGGGTCCAATCCTCCTCCTCCTCCTCCTCCTCCTCCTCCTCCTCCTCCTCCTCCTCCTCCCGACATCTCTAGGGGGCCACATGCGAACCCTACCCCTACCCCCCCACGATTTCTGAGGGGGAGGGCGGGGATAGAGTTCGCATGCGGCCCCCTATCCAAGCCCCTCCCGCGTACGATCGTTACCGTTACCCGGGGTTTTGGCCGGGGTGACGACCGTCACGCGCCAGAGGACAGAGGATACGATCAGGAGTTTGGGCTTAGCGTGTGGCGCCGCTGGTTCTGCTCCACAACGCTCTGACGTGACTTGCACTCCGCGTCCCAGTCCCCGCACGTCAGCGCCTCGAGTCTTTCTCAGCCTGCCGCTCCGCGGAGCGGAGCGACACGCGATTCGCTCGCGGGCCATGGGCGTGTCGCCAGGGCCGCCGGCGCGACACGACAAGCAACAGTTCCTGACCGTAGAAAAAATTCGCAGGCCTCGAGGTTGACACCAACACCAATATCGGCGGTGTTCCTCCACCGAGGGAAGAAGATCCCGATCTCGGTGATGGTGGTAGTATTCTGGCTTCCAGGGTGACCGAAATATTACCATCAACACCGAAATCTAGGATCATCTCTCCCCCGTGGAGGCAGCCCCCCTGTCTTGGTGTTGGTGCCCATTTCCAGGCCTCCAAAAAATCTCTGGCGCGGTGCCAGCGTTGTCGGCAGTCAGGCGGGCGGTTTCCTGCAGCAGCCGCGGCCCGCGACGGAGGGAGAGCTCGGCGCTGGGCCCTCCGCCGTGCTCCTGCTTGCTTCCTGGACCCCTCGGTTCCCTGGCTGGGCCCCGCCTCTGAGGTCCGAGGGGGTCCGGCACTGATTCTGGCCAGCAGGAATGGGGGGAAGAGGATCGAGGCTCTGGGCTCGAGAAGGTGTTCTTGGTCTTTTCGGCCTCTGGGGGCCGTTTTCGAGCGCTGGGAGCGTCAAAACCGGACCTGGGGTGAAACGCTGCACCAAATTGGACCCCAGGAGGGGTCCAGGAACCCATTTTGAACGGATTTGCCCTCAGTGCCCCCCTATCTTGACTTCTTTTCTCGTGGCCCATCCAGGTCAGACGCCCCAGCCGCCTCCGAGCCCCCACCTCTTTCGCGGGCGCCAGGAAACTCCAAGAACCCTTTTGCTGGCTAGTCATCGTCGCCCGCATCCAGGGCGCGTGATGAGGTTTCCTCGCTCGCCGAAGCCCGCTCACCTACGGCCACCTATGCAGTCAGGGGCGTTTGCTCAGCGTGTCTCTGGCCCACCACGCTTCGGCGCGACACGCCAAGCAGTCCCAGCTCCTAAACATCAGAAGCAACGCAAAGCGTTCTGGGGACGTTGGGAAGGGGGGGTTCGAACTGGGGAGGCCTCCCCCCTTTGAAAGGCAGGGGGAGGGGGGTTCGAACCGCCCTTTCCCCTCCTCAGTGGCAACCGACGGCGGCGAGCGCGGGCCCCTGCGCTGGCGCCGTCGGGCAACGACGACGACGATCGCACCCTTTGTAGGAGGCTATCAAGGCTGGAGCGAGCTCTACCAAGATCCTGGTAGAGCTGGATCGAGCCCTAGAAGGATTCACTTAGAGCTGGATCGATCTATAGTGGGATTCTATCTGACATGGGTCGGGCCTTAGTCGGGTTCATTTAGAGCTGGATCCTCCTATAGTAGGACCCTTGGTGAATCGGACAGAGCGTGGCTAGGATGCGAATAAAAGTGGATCCAGCTATAGTGGGACTCAACTAGACCTAGATCGAGCCAACATTGGATTTACTTAGATCTGGATTCAGCTGCAGTTGGCTTCTTTTAGAGTTGGACCGAGCACGATTAGGATGCTATTGCAGTGAAACCCAAGTCTATCGATCACTGGATTCTATTAGGGAGGGGGGACGGTTCGACCCCCCCCCTTGGACAGGGCCCCCCCCCAGCCCCCCGTGTTCGAACCCCCTCCCCCCCCGGTTAGAGAGGCCCCCACCGATTCTCTGGTCGCTTCCAATGTCGTTGAAGGAGGGGGGGGCGAGCGGTTCCGACGTGCCGAGGGATTTGTTTCAAAGCAAGCGTCCACGAAACGCGTCCTTTCAAACATCAGCGCCCCGAGTTTTCCCGCATCCTGCCGTCCCGCGAGGCAGACCGGCACGCTACGTCAGCTTGCAGGGCGCAGCGTGACGCAGGAGGGGCCACCGCCGCGGCTTGCTGTGCAAACGCTTCCTCGCCGCAGGCTTTGACCGCGTCGTCGTTTCTGAGTCTGGTGTCTGGTGCGGCTGCCCAGGATGCGGAGCGAGCGGGGTTGGCACACGGGCCAGCGCAGACCTCGAGGGGAAAGAGCGTACCGCGAAACTCGTCGCACGAGGTCCAGGCGGCAGCCCTCTCCAAGATTCGAAGCCCCGTGGCGCGCTCGAGCACACGATCGTGAGGCCCATCGGTGTCTTAATGGTACACTGCTTCCCCTCCTCTAGCCTCCTCCTTGGCCTCCCAAATCCTCCCTCCTCCGCCGCCTCCTCCTCCTCCTCCTTCTCCTCTTTCTCCTCCTCCTCCTCCTCCTCCTCCTCCTCCTTCTCCTCCTCCTCCTCCTCCTCCTCCTCCTCCTCCTCCCTCCTCCGCCTCCTCCTCCTCCTCCGCCGCCCTCCTCCTCCTCCTCCTCCTCCTCCTCCTCCTCTCCTCCTCCTCTTCCCTCCTCCTCCTCCCTCCTCCTCTTCCCTCCTCCTCCTCCTCCTCCTCCTCCTCCTCCTCCTCCTCCTCCTCCTCCTCCTCCCTCCTCCCCCTCCTTGGCCCTTGTTTCCCTCCTCTCCCCCCTCCTCTCCCTCCCTCCTCCCCTCCCTCCCTCCTCCCTCCCCTTCCCTCTCCCTCCCTCCCTCCCTCCCTCCCTCCCCCTCCCCCCCTCCCCTCCTCCTCCTCCTCCTCCTCCTTCTCCTCCTCCTCCTCCTCCTCCTCCTCCTCCTCCTCCTCCTCCTCCTCCTCCTCCTCCTCCTCCTCTCCTGCCTCTGTCCTCAGCGGGGGCGAGGTGGGGGAGGAGCGGGAGCAGAATGACAGGAAGGAGCGGGAGGAGCCAGAGGACGGGGGAGGAGCCAGAGGACGGGGGCAGGATGGGGGCCTCCCGCCCCCCTCAGGTGGTCGACGACCCGAAGCGGCCCGTGTGGGTGGACCTGGAGTCGGGGCTGCGCTCGCAGGTGCCGGGGAAGCACGACGAGTTCGACCTGGGCAAGGCGCCGCCCGCCACTCGAGGCGTCGCCGTCGTCGCCGCCCTCCGGCCGGAGGAGGAGGAGGAGGGTGATGGTGGTGGTGATGGTGGTGGTGATGATGGTGATGCTGGTGATGGTCATGACGATGATGGTGATGGTGGTGATGATGACGGGGGAGGCAGGCGACGACGACGACGACGACGACGACGACGACGACGACGACGACGACGACGACGACGACGACGACGACGACGACGACCTGCGATGGCTGGTCTCCGCCCACCGTCCCTGCGCCGGAGAAGGCTCCCTCCTCGGCCCCATCGGTTCCCCCCGCCCTCCAAACGTCCAAGATCTCTCTCGCCTCGCGGTGTGCCGCACGTTTCGAGCACGTGCAGCCAAGTCGTTGTGGGGCCTCCTGGGGGCTTCTTGGGGGCCTTTTGGATGCCTCGTCGGGGCCTATGGGGGGCCTCCTTGGGGCCTCCTGCAGGCTTGCACCACCACATCCGCCGACTCCCTGAGTTAGTCCCTTGCTGCTCCGGGCGTTTGCGGGTTGGTTGGCTCGCGCAGCATGGGAGTATGAATGGGATGGGGGGCCCTGTTGGCATGCCTGAGGAGGGAGCACGTTTGCGTTGCGCGTTTGTTATTGCCTCCGCGGCCCAGCCGTTGGGCCAAGAGCTGGAGGGTCGGAAAGGGGGGCCGTCTGGGGGCCTCTCTGATTCTTTTTCTCGCCCACCCCCTGGTGAGTTCGGCCAGGGGTCGGCCGGGGGCCGTGCCAGGCAGGGGGGGGATCAAATTGAAGGATCGTGGTTCCTGGGGGGCTATACTGAACCGCGTCGGGATGTCTTGAGTGATCTTGGAGGCTATCTTGGACTCCGGGTCCCTCTTGGGTCCATCTTGGGCCCTTTTGGGCGCTCCAGCGCCTCGCGAATCCCCCCTCCAGACCCAGAGGTAGGGGGTAGGGGGTAGGGGGAGGGGGACCCCCTCCCCGAAGGGAAAGAAGCGGGTTAGCAGAACGGGCTCCCTGGACCACTCATGCCCAGAGGGCAGATGGCCCGGGGGGGGGGGCGGGGGAGTGTAGGGGGCCAGCATTTCACAAGCCTGGCGACCCGCAGTGGGGTCGGCGGATCTGGGGGACATAATTTCACTGCTGAGCTGGCGATTCCGTGACGCACACGGCTGCGGTGGCGTTTAGTCGGTCGGGGCCGCTACGGTGGGAAACTTTTTGGCCCAGCGTGTCGCTCCGCCGGTTCCTGGCCCACCACGCTTCGGCGCGACACGCTAATCAACCACGCCCCAGTCCCCGGGCATCAGCGTCCCGAGCTTTTCCCATCCCCCCGCCCAGCGGAGTGGAGCGACACGCGATCAGCTCGCATGGACTGGCATGTCGCCAGGGCCGCCGTCGCGGCACGGCAAGCAAGACTTCCCGACCGTAATTGGGGTTCTTGGTGCCGTTTGCTTGGGTCTCTTCGAGCATACACGAGTCGACAATAAGCACTAAAACTAAGACGAAACATATTAACACTATTACAAACACTAGAATTATTAAGTGATGGCGTCTCTAGGAGGAAAAATAAGACGACTAATAGTATAAGACGACAAGTATTTTTCATACCAGTACTATTAGCAATACCAGTAACATTATCAATGGTAATAGTAATGCTGTGAAGAAGGAGAATCATACACCTCAGATTCGAATACTAACAATGAGTATAATACGCTGAAGCAAAAGAGAAACACGACGAGTGATAATAATCATAATATTAATGATACTAATGTGACGAAAAGTAACTAATCACGGGTAAGAATGATACAATCACTTGGAGGACAGGAGCCCCTAGCCAGGCGAGAGGAGGGGGGGCTCCCCAGGGTTGGTCGGGGACTCCCCCCCCCCTGCGAGGAGAGCCTTCGACTCTTCCTTACCTGCCGGCAGGGCGGCGCCCAAGTGCTGCCCAGTGGTCCTGCTTCTGACGCGTCTGCGATTCCACACTCAGTGCTGCCCAGCCCCGTTTATCCTGCCAGGGACTCCTGGCACCCGCTGCTGCCCCGCGGGGCCTTCCCCCGGCAGCCCGCTCCCGGGCTCTGCCTTGCGCCCAGAGGGATCGGACCCCCTCGCCGCAGGCCCAGATTGCCCCCCTCTCCCCAGACTTCGGTCGGGCCTGGCCCTCTACAGGGGGAATAGTCAAGAATAGTTACAAAATAGTCTGGGGACGATTTGTCTAGTATTTTTCCCTACCTAGGCGCTGCCTAGAAGGGTTCTTACTCTCTGGGCTTAAAGGGGCCGGGCAGTGGAAGGCGCCCCGGGCGGTTCCCCCAGTATCCGCCCCGCGATTCCCCCAGTTACGTCCCCTTAGCTTAGCGTTGCTTATCTCATCTTAGCTTAGCCTAGCTTAACTTAGCTTAGCTTAGCTTAGCCTAGCCTAGCTTAGCTTAGCTTAGCTCAACTTACAGCTTAGCTTAGCTTAGCGCAGCATCAGCATAGCATAGCATAGCATAGCATCACATACCATATCATATCATGTCATATCATATCATAGCATATCATAGCGCAGCATAGCATAGCGCATCACAGTATAGCATAGCATAGCATGGCATATCATACCATTATGCAACATAACATGACATATCATATCATATCATAGCGCATCATAGCTTAGCTTATCATAGCACAGCGCAGCATAGCATAGCATAGCATATCATATCATAACACAGTACACCATAACATAAGATATCATATCGCAGCACAGCATAGCATAGCATAGCGCAGCATAGCATATCATAACATATCATAGCGCAACATAACATAGCACATCATAGCATATCATAGCATAGCATATCATAGCGCAGCATCGCATATCATACCATAGCCTAACATAGCATAACATAGCGCAGCATAGCATAGCATAGCATAGCATAGCGCATCATAGCATAGCATAGCATAGCATAGCGCAGGATAGCATAGCACAGCACAGCCTAGCATAACATAGCGCAGCCTAGCATACCCTAGCACAGCACAGCACAGCATAGCATAGCGCAGCATAGCGCAGCATAGCGTAGGTGTAGCTGTAGATGTAGATGTGAGTGTAGTTCTAGATGTAGATGTAGATGTAGATGTAGATGCATGTGTACATTTAGATGTAGCTGTAGGTTTAGATGTGGATGTAGGTCTAGATGTAGATGTAGGTACTAAGCTGTACTATTACTATTACTATTACTACTACTACTACTACTACTACTACTACTACTACTACTACTACTGCTGCTGCTACTACTACTACTACTACTACTACTACTACTACTACTACTACCGCTACTGCTACAACTGCGACGATGAGGAGAAGGAGGAGGACGGCGTTTACCGTTACTACTAATCTTGCTCTCCTCGGGGCTCCAACCCCTAGGTAGGGTCGCTCTGGGATAATTCTGCCTATTGTTGGGCATTTCCCTACCTAGGCTCTGCCTAGAAGGGTTCTTGCTCTCTGGGCTTAAAGGGGCCGGGCAGTGGAAAGCTCCCCGGGCGGTTCCCCCAGTATCCGCCCCGCGATTCCCCAAGTTACGTCCCCTTAGCTTAGCGTTGCTTATCTCATCTTAGCTTAGCTTCTTTCATCTCAGCTTAGCTTAACTTCATCTTAGCTCAGGTTTATCTTAGCTCAGCTTACCTTCACCTTCATCTTAGCTTCGCTGAGCTTTAGCATAGCAGAGCACACGCGTTGCCAACCGCGTTGCCAGTTTAGTTTTCTGTTCGGGTAATTCGCATGGGTGTAATTCCCTACCTAGGATCTGCCTAGAAGGTTAGCTTAGCTTAGCTTAGCTCAGCATAGCGCAGCGCTGCATTAGTATAGCATAGCTTAGCTCAGCATAGCACAGCATAGCATAGCATAGCATCGCGCAGCATAGCATACCATATCATAACATATCATAGCATATCATAGCGCAGCTTATCATAGCATATCATAACATAACATAGCATATCATAACATAGCATAGCACTGCGCGGCATGCCATATCATAACATAGCATATCATAGCATAGCATAGCATATCATAGCATCGCATAGCGCAGCATACCATACCATAACATAGCATAGCACATCATAGCATAGCATAGCGCAGCATAGCATAGCATAGCATAGCATAGCATAGCATAGCATAGCATAGCATAGCATAGCATAGCATAGCATAGCATAGCATAGCATAGGGGCTCCAAATTCTAGGTAGGGTCGCACTGGGGTAATTTTGGACTATGTTTTAACATTGTCGCCCCACATCCGCCTGTAGGGGGACATGCCCGACCTAACCCCAGACCCTCGACGTCATGACTTTTCATGACGTCGACCCCAAAGATCTCGACCCATTCCCCGTAACCGGTGTCTCATCCTGAGTCGTTTTACGACGGTCCCCGGGCCCCCAGGGGCCGAGAATAGCGAACAACTTCCCGTCGCGATGTTTTTCCTTGCTCGAGGGGGAACTGGGCCCCTGGTCTGGACTGGGCACCCCCGCCCCCGCGAGGGCTCTCCTCGCTTCTCGAGACCCCCCCCATCCTCCCTCGAGGCCCCTCGCCCCCTCAAGGGCCCTCGCTCCCCCCGGCCCTCGAGGGCCCCTCCCCCTCCCTCCCTCGAGGGCCCCTCGCTCCCTCGCGCCCCTGCCCCCCGATGCCTCGATGCCCGACGGCGCGCCGCGCCTCGGCCCGCCACTGGGCGGCGGCGGAGGCCTTCCGGAGCGGCGCACCGCCCCGCGGCGCGCCCCTCGCGCAGCGGGGTCGGGTTAAGTCGGGCCTGTCCAAAAAAATAAAAGAAATCCCCCCCCAAAAAGTCCAAACAAAAGGGGGCCTGTCCAAAATAAGGGGGCCTGTCCAAAAATAAAGGAAATCCGAAATAAGGGGGCCTGTCAAAACAAAATTAAGTCGGGCCTGTCCTACAGGGGGAGTTTCGACGAAAAATCAAAGAGATCCATACATAATCCAAACATAGTCCAAAAATAGTCTGGGGACCATCGTTTTTTGGTATGCTTTCGGCCTTTTTGGGGTAC